GGGGGGGGGGGGGGGGGGAGGGTTGGTTCCTCCGTCATTTTCATGTTGGTCTATCGACGGCGTTGTTACGAGGTGGCCGCGGGAAGGACGGGAAGGACGTGCGCGGGGTTTGACGTGCGCCTGGCTCTTGGCACTCTGGCTTGCTGCAGTTCTGCTCGGTGTGCTCTCGGCCGACGCGGTCTGGGGGTGGTGTCGTGCTTGTGTTGGCAGCTTTGCCGTGGCGGCATACAGAGGGAATGCCGTCACACGACACCCCATCACCAGGAGTCTTGTCGTTTGGGGGTGACTTGGAGTTTGGCAACCATCTGCGTCGATTCTCGTGTTTCCCCACTTAGCGTCGTTCACCAGTCAGCGAGAAGTATCTCCCCGCAGAATGACTGTATCGTTCAGGGGGGGGGGGGGGGGGGGGTGTACTCATAGTCGTGCATGCCGTAGTCGTTNGGGGGGGGGGGGGGGGGGGTGTCGCGACGGACTTGGTTGTTGCCAGGATAACATGGGCCTGTGTGAACCCTCGTCGACGCGGCGCGTCTGGCCGAATATCCGAACAGGTGATGCGGCTGCTGCTGGTGCTTATGTGCGAGCCTCTGTTCCAGCGGAACGTGGGCTTCGATCCGACCGCCTCCAGGTGCGTGTGCGCTGGGGGGGGCGGCGAATGGTTACGTGTCGGATAGGAGTATGCGGTCCGTGTGTCGAAGGCCAAGAGCAGAGCTCCTCGCCGACTCTCGTGCCTGACAGCAGGCTCGAGGTTTTTGGATAGGCGGTGTTTATACAATGGCGAAAAGAACAGCCCACCATCGCACAGGCAGCAGTGAAGCGTGTCTGTACAGCGGTATGGGACCAGCTCATGCAATGGAAGGAGACTCGCACGGGAACTTCTGCCAGCGCCCCACCCGGTTTTACTCTTGGTCACGATACGGAAGATGACAAGTGCGAGAGACACGAAGAGTACTGCAGGCGTGGCAACTCGTCCTGCCCGTCCCGCTGCCGCCGTTTTCCGTGTGCGTGTACGACTGGTAGCAGGGCGCCCTGCAGCCGGGCTCGGTCCGGATTTTCTGTGCCTCGGATTTTTGTTGTTGATGTTGTGGTGCCGTATGCCTTTCTCCCGATCATCGCGATCATGCGGTAGGCGCTCGAGTGCCCGGAGCCCACGGGGACAAGGCCTACACCAATCTTCTCTCTGCGTCTGTCTGTCTGTCTGTCTGTCTCCTCTCTCTTTCTCTTTCTCTCTCTCTCTCTCTCTCTCTCTCTCTCTCTCTCTCTCTCTCTCTCTCTCTCTCTCTCT